GGTAGTGTTGATCCAATAGTTGTGCATTGTTCTGCTGGAATCGGTCGAACTGGTGTGTTAATCCTTATGGAAACCGCTGCCTGTCTTGTGGAAGCGAACGAGCCTGTCTATCCGTTGGACATCGTACGGGTTATGCGAGATCAAAGAGCGATGGCCATTCAGACCGTGGTAAATACTCACATATTCAATATATTTTAAAAATCGAATATTTTTCTTCCATTTTCAGGGTCAATACACATTTGTATGCGAATCGATTCTACGTGCTTACAATGATGGCATTATAAAACCATTAGCTGAATACCAAAAACGGTAACTGAGACTAATTTCTCCGACGTTCTGAACAATTTCGAAGCGTAGCAAATTCTTTTATTTCACGAGTCAGGGTTTTTTGAACATAATTTTGTTGCAAAGCAGAATCACCAAAGCTAAAGGCTAGAAAACACTAACATTGATGTACACATTGAAGCTTCCCTAGTCATCCCTTTCGCAAATTTCCCCAACAATCATGCATTTTCCTACTCTTCTCATTTTTTGTGCACATTTGTTTGATTGTCGCTATCGTAAACTAACTAAAACGGTTATTTCCTTTCATATTTCTTTTGTCAATTATCATATTTACCTTGTTTCTTCTTCTCCATTCTTCTCTACTCTTCTCACATTGTTGGTGCTCTTGGAATGTGAGAGCGTCAGCTTTTTCTCTACAATTATTCTAAAGGTCTGAGTTTGGCCCAACTTGGGCTTACTCGCAGCTCAGACCGCGCTCAAGCATATGTTAAATACCCTTAATCGCATCGCCTCAGCTCTCATTTCTGCAACTACATCGATCCAGCGCTAAATTTAGCGCGAAACTCTTCGCTGGATTGAATGCAAGTTCTTTCTTTGCTGTGCATATTGAAGTGATATCAGAATGCCTTGAATAAAAACATTTTATCATACAATATGGAACTCTTAGGTCGTTCTATTCACAGTGTACACAATCAAAAAAACTAACAAAATTGATGGACAACGACTCGAAAAGGCTATGAAGAACCGTCCAGGGCTCAATCCAGAACAAAATGCTCTCTAACCGCGCGAGTTAATATGGACATCACCGGGCTTGAAATGTAAAAGCGAGTACAGGAGAGGGATGCAGTTTCTGTCACAACTATAGGCAAGATAGAGGCTAAACACCTCAAGTGATAAGTGAGTTTCAAACTCACCACGTTCATCAATATGATATTTAGAGTTTCCATGCAGAAACTGATAGGTATGACAATAACCAAACAAGGAAGAACAAGGAAAAAACGCTGAGAACATAAATAAAGAAAAAAATGACAAGATATAGTCGAGATCCTCCCGACAAGAAAAAACACAATGTGTTACACAATCTCCCGGATATGTAACCCTGTTACCCGACATGGAAAAGGACGTAACGAGAGAAGCCGCAGCTCGACCCAGCGAACTGCAGCAGCTGAGAATGAGCAGCATAATCTGCTTAACTTAATCTCTAGATCAAGAAGATACAGTTGCGGAAGTCGTGTACGACCAACGCATTCCTCTTTTAGACTAGTCCCTGTGCTATGTGCTACTCTCACTTCGTTGTCATTAGGTCGACTGTCTTAATTCATGGTGAACTGGCCTACGTATTGCTGCTGGGGGGCGAACGGCTGCATTCCCTGAGAATAGGGTGGGTAAGGACCGGTGGAGGGCATTGGTTCCATCAAGGAACCAGGAGGCATCGGACCTCCTCTCATCCCCATCATTCGCTGATTGTTCATAAAAGCCGAAGAAGAAGGATCCACATTATTGGCAAACCTAAAATATGCTCATTCATCAAGCAACATCTTATTTCAACTTTTATTTACAACAGAGATCATAAGGAGACAAGATATCAATATCTTATGAAACACTTTGCTACATTGTCGTGGTTACTAGGAAAACATGAAACAACCTATTTTTGTTGCATTAGAAAAGGTTCAATGATGTTAAGTTCGAAAGTGGAAAAATTTTGTTAACTAAACATCTGACTTGAAGATAATTTTACACTAACGTAATAACTTATGATAGAAAAACCAATAGGATCACTAGTGAAAGTAATGACGTGACGCTTAAGCGTTGTAAATAACGAAATCGTGACTCTGCACTCCAAACAGAGAGAAGACATCCGCATTTTTTCAAAAATCGCATAAATAATCGCAAAAAAGCCATATTATCGTCTTAACTAAAAAATTTCCTCTTTGATATGTCTATTAGCAAAAAAAGTTTTGAGCAAAGCAAAGCAAAAATGAACATGTTTCATAGGTCCTCAGAGTTTCCGCAGAATATCACAACTACCATTGACTGTTATTGAGTATTGAGAACAAATCGATGCATGATTCTCTTATAATTAC